TAAAAGTTTTAGAGAAAGATTGAAAAAATTCAATTTATTTATTATCAACCAAGATTTATTTTTAAATAAAAGGAAATAGTTATCGATGTTAGAACTGATGAACTTAAAATTAATGTGAAATTAAAAGCTTTAAAATTTTTAAGTCACAAGAAACATTTTTTGCCACTTTTTAAGTTTTTCTTTGTAGGTGAAGTTTAAGTGAAAACAAAAAATTTTTTTTTTATACTAATCAAGTACAAATTTCACTATATGAAACCAAATTAGTATTTATACAAAAAAAAAACACAGGATGCTTTATGAATAATTTATAATTTTGATGTAAACTGTTTAAAGAAACAAAAATGGCGGAGGAAAAATTGTGGGGGTTGGTGAGCAAAGAAAGCAGCTTTCTAGTTTCGGAGAAATAAAATAATTTTAATAAAAATAAACTGTAATGGGCAAAACAAAAATCATACCTGTGCAATATTGTTCATCCACACTTCTCCTATATCCTTCTTTGCAAATAATTATACATTTATAAGATCCCAAGGTATTTATACATTCTTCTGACGTGGAGCAGTCATCAATATTGATATCACATTCATTTAAATCTGTTGGGAATAGTGAGAGAGTAAAAAAAATATTAGAAAAGTTTTTCTTGTTATATGCTTTAAAGTTATATTATAAATTAAAATTAGAATATTATAAATTAAGGATATTATAAATGAAAAATAATGCCATTCAAATAATTCTGAATATTTAATTAGGCATCTCATTGTATTAAAGAAATTGCAGCTAACTATATTCTACATAATTATGTAAATCATGATTGATAGTTTTACTATTTTAAAATAAAAATCAGCTTAATATAAGAGTTAATTAAAAAGTAAAGAATTTAAAAGAATCTGGTATGTTTCTTTTTTTTTTTTTATCCATCGCTGAAAAGCCGATTCAATTTTGGGTTGACGACTACTAATGTTCAACTCCGTAGCCTTGTAATTTTGAACCAATCCAAAAGACAAGGAAACTTCTGGATTAGTACCCCCAGAGGTATTGATTTGTTATGGGAACATGAAGGACTTTGGGACTCGACAGATTTAACGTGCATCAGTCACCATTTACTACACGGAGAGCCTTCGGCTGGCGGGGATCGAACCCACGAACTCTTGGACATAGGCTCATAGCCCTACCAACCAGGTTATCCCGGCCTAATCTGGTATGCTTGGCACGAACTCATGGAACCAAGAACATCAATCATTGCTCCTAATGAAGTATTTCAACCACTGCATACTCATAAATTTCAGGTGTAAGCGCGTTTCAAATGATACATAATAAAGAATAAATTAATTCCAGCAATAAATTAATTTAAAAAAAATGATAAATCCAAAGTACCTAAAAGCACTATAAATGGCCACTAAGTTTAACAAATTAAGATTGTGCATGAAGAAAGAAAAAATTATTTTACAGCAGGAATCACACTTAAAGTTTCAATGCAAAGCTATATGAAGCTCTTTTTTTCCACATTTTAAAAGATTTTTTGGAACTAAAATATTTTATCACTAATTTTTTTTTGAAAAAGTTAGACATAATAATAATAATAGCGATATAAAGAATAGCAGTGATCTAAAGAATAATAGTGATCTAAAGAATAATAGTGATCTAAAGAGTAATAGTGATCTAAAGAGTAATAGTGATCTAAAGAGTAATAGTGATCTAAAGAATAATAGTGATCTGAAGAATAATAGTGATAATAACAGTAACAGTAAAAGGGATGTAAAATTTAGGGCTATTTGGTACAAGTGTTTTGCTATGTATTAAGAGTTCAATCTACTTCATTTGTTTCTAGTCATTATATTTACTAATCAATTTTAAGAGAAAAAAATTATTTGATTTCAAGAGAAATAAAACTGAGGTTACTTAAAATTCTATGTTTTAGCCTTTCTCCTGTGAAATAACCTTTTATAAAAAGACAACTGATAAAAATATATACTAGATAAAAATACTGGTCAAAAAATTGCTTACCAATGCATGAAACTTCATCAACATCCAATTCAAATCCATTAAAACATTGGCAGGAAAATCCACCCGGAAAATTGTTACAAATATGAGAACATGAATTATTTTCACATTCGTTGATGTCTAAAAAAAATAAACACAGCTGTTTAAAGAAAGAAAATTTTATTTTGGAGATAAAAAGTAGAGTTAACCTTAAGACAACAACTATACTACAATCAAGATAATTATACTGCTCTCATTAGATACATTTTCAAATAACCTAACCACCCACACACTAAGAACAAGCAACAAATGAATGAAGCTTTCTAATTACCTTCACAGTAAACTCCATTTGAACTCAGTTTGAAACCTTCAAAACAGTCATCTGAAGTTGGACCTTTAAAAAAAAATTATTACAGAATATTGAAAAATGTGAATTCACTAATATCCTATTCATATTACCTAAGGTGTTTTGAACATTATGTAATCCTACTCTAATCATTTCTTTCTTTGTTTATTTTATTTACGTAAATAATATTTGAACAGTGTAACTTAACACGTCAATACAGTGGTCTGCATTTAGTTTATACAGTGTTCTTAAATCAAAAAAAGATGTCTTTCTGGAAAATTATTAAAATATTTAAATTAACACAGACAAAATGGTTTCAATAAATAAGTAATGATATCGAATCAGAGACCAGTTACAATGTAAAAAAATTTTCGTATTGCAAATTTCAAGTCTATCTATGAGATCAATGAAGGCTTTATTAAAAATAGTATATTGTCTTAAATTACGACAATTTCTTTTCAAGATTATTTCATTGTAAATTAGGTTTTGTGATGAATCTTCTATAAAAAATGAAACTATTTTTAAACTTTTATTACTACCTTATTAAGTAATTCTTTTTCATTTACCAAATTTCATTATGAAATAAAAAATTTCAGTGCATTAAATATAGTTCTATTATGACTTAAAAGATATGAGGTTCTAATATGACTTAAAAGATAAAATGATAAACTATAACCTAATATTCATTATAAAAGCATGATTAAATATTTACCTTATTTATATATATATAAAATAATACTCTATGAATTTTATAAAAGTGACAAAAATTCTCTGCATATTTTATTGATATACAGTCAGCTTTTCATAACTCCTTGATAATCTTTCAATCTGGTTTTTATCTGCTAGTTTAAAATTGTGTCTTGTTTAAAATTTCTATCATAGTTCATTTTTAAAATATCGATTTCTTAGCATATACATTTTGAGAAAAGATCTTTTACTTCATTTTCAAAACTTTATGACACTCATTAAAGTCAAAACTATCTCGGTTAGTTTTCTACGCAGAACACAGGAGAGTAACATCAGCAATTTGACGTATCACAAATGCATACAATTCATAAAGAAATACAAAAAAAATTCCATTCACGAACTTCAAAATTGTTTTTTTTTTTTACTTAATATAAATAAATGCAAGATTTAATACAATTTACAAAATAAGAAAATTAAAAATAAGATTAGCTAAAAACATCTATATTTTTATAAATAATTTAGAAAGAAAATAAAAACTGAAGCTTAAATCATAAAACAACTAAGAGGTAATGAAAAAATATTCAAGAGAAGCTATTACCTATACCAATAGCAGCAGATATGAAAAATTTCATATTTAGTGTATCAGGATCGTATTGGCTTTCAATATTATCAGCATAAAGTCTTTCCACCACAAAAGGCATTTCACCAAGACTATCATCATAAAATATTGAATGGTTCCATGAATAAGGAAGAATATAATCCCCAATTTTATAAGTACGTGTTGACAGAGCATAGATTGAACCTGGACCGGTCTGTATGTAATCCTCTGAAAATTTTAAAGCATTTCACTTATTTAACATAAAATTCTAAGTTAACAGGGTGCGGAGCTAAATCTTTCAGCAAAAAATAAGCACCTTTTAAGTACTTTTTAAGCACTCAAAAATTATTTTTAAGCACTATATACGTTAACAAAATGCAAAATAATTTTCAAAGACTTCACATGATCATGATAAAAGAACTATTTTCTAGCCATTACAAAATGATTGGGAGATTTTTCGGTTCGATTTCAGAGGGTTGAAAATGAAGCTTAAAATTGAGAATATCTTGTAAACTGCAGCAGAGTTGCACATGAGAGTACAATAATCTCACCAAACACAGCTCACTATATGCACATGCGGACTCGCAAGTATTTCACCAAACCTGTAAAATGATTGGCGCTTTCATATACTATGGACCGACGGCACGATGAAATGAATTGTGAAAACGTTGAATAGAACAATGTGTAAAGCACGCTTCTGCATAATACGTGGCGAAAATCGAAATGATAACGAAAAGGAGGATCCTTCGTGGAGGACTTTTATAACTCGAAATTCTCTTATGGTAATCTTGATGGCAAGGGGATTCTAACCCATGATTTGTTTACCACTGACAATATTTATGTCAGCACTGCGGTTGGCACAAGCCATGAGCAGCCATCGCTGGGATTCGAATCTGGGTCACCTTATCGGAGGCAAGTGCTCTATCCCCTCACATTCCTTGTATTGTAATTTTTTATTTAAATTTACTTTATTAACAAACCAGTGAAAATGTGTACATACTGATAATACTTTTTAGTTCTTAGACCCCTGATCATTACTTAAATTTTAGTAATTTTTATTCTAGATTTCCAGTTCAAAATGTCTTAATTTTATTATAAAACTGAATTGAGATCCCCATTGTTTACCTGAATGCAATGTATTAAATAATAATTTTATTAATTTTTCATGAGCGATTTTTTTTAAAAAGGCGAAAAATGGCTTGCATGTTATCTTAATATTGGGGTAGAACAGGGCACTAATTAGATATTCTTCGACTCACCTGTAAAGGGATGCAGAGTTAGATTAGAAGATGGTAAATCTGGAACATCTCCACTTATTACAATATCGACTAAGAGGTTACCCTTTCGATCCAATCCTCGAACTACATGAGTCATGTACAAAACTTCACCTGCAGAAAAAAAACAATAATAATAAATAAATCACTTAAATATTTCCTGCATTTAGTTTTAGATAAGCTAAAAAGAGTTATCATACCTGTAGCAAAATTGACTTGTGTTTCTTTGCGGAAGAATCCTTTAGTTAAAGTGTAACCATTGACAGCTCT